TATATATATATATATATATATATATATATATATATTATTTAAGTAGATTGCGAAACCTACAAATTGTTTGTGCAACATATTTCCAGGCAGAAGACAGAAGTATAGCTACCGCATTGGCGCATTGTGAACTCTCTCACCTTCATACTGTGAATTTGTGTTCGACCTCTTTCTTTTCTGCCGCAGATTATCGTCACGTTGCTTTGCTTTCAAGTAACGCAAATTTTACCTTCTTGCTTCTCTTTGTTAGCATTGTTGTCTTCTGGGGTGATCTGTTTCTAATTTTGCTTGTCTTTCATACCTTTGTGAATTCCCTTCGGTTATATCTGTTTAGTACTTGTTGATTTTTTTAAATGTGCAATTTGGGTTTCTAGCATTTCAATTCCATCTGAGTTTCAAAGCATGATTTGGGGGGCGTTTTTTTTTTAATTTTTTAATTTATCTATTTATTTATTTATTTTATTCTTCATTGTTATTGTTAGCGATGAAGAGGTCAAGGGATGATGATAAACTGCCCATGGTGTCTTCTAGTGTGGAACCGTAAGTTCATTTTTTATTTTTCTTTTTCGTCTTCAGTATCTTGTTTCGTTGATTTTTCTGTTTCTCCGAAATTTTTATTTTCTGGGTTGGTGAGACAGTTGCATCTTCTGTTCTCTGGGTTGGTGAAACATTTTCTGGGTTGATGGTTACACGGGTAGATGATTTTTTTTGCATCTTCAATTTTTTTATATTTTTATATGATGGTTGTTTGGTATTTCTCATCTTTTCTGCAAGTTTAGTGTCTGATCCTGATGAAGGTTCAATTTTTATTTTTATACGATGGTTGTTTGGTATTTTTATTATTTATTAGTTTTGATTTGTTGAGATAGTCTTTGTTGGAAGATTATTCTGTAATTCTCGATTTATCTGCATAATTTGGCAAGTTTATTTTGTTAGGCTTGACTTTGTGAGATAGTCTTTGGAGTCAGGGTCGTGGCTGTGGCACCGTAGCTCCCTCCCCTTTCGAACTCCTATTTTTTATTTATTTATATATTATCTAAAAAATAATTTTAATTTAAATTATTAGATGATACATTTTATAATATTATTTGTGATTATTTTGTCAGTAAGATTATATATTTTATTATATTATTATTCGTGCCTCCGTGTATTTCTTAAAAATAAAAATAAAATAAAAGATAAAAGATAAAAATAATTGAGGTTGAGTAAATAGTGTGCGGTTAAAAACTTACCGGGGGAAAGAGGCACTTTGTGTTTCTAAATATTTTTAAAAGTAAAATAAACAAAAAAATAACATAATAGTGTGAGTGATTGTTCAAGTGGTTAATGATGATTATTAAAATTATTTTTTTCTTAATAATTGAGGGTATAATCGTTCATAAATTACAGAGACGAAAAACGATTATGAGAAGAAGTATTGCATTTATATATTAGTGTAGACAAGAGATAGAATGTGAGAGGTTTCTGAGTAGTTATAATAGAAAAAAAAAATATACACCAAAACTACCCTATATCCCCTTTGTATAGTGTAATCTTTATTATCCTTTAAACTTTGGAGATTGGAGTAATTGGAACCCCTAAGTTAAATTCTCTATAGTTTTCTACATTCAGTTTATTTATGAATGCCATGTTTTGAAGGCTTTAAAAAGATGAAGAGAATAAAAAATAAAAAGCAGGAACTCAAATATATGAAGTTTATATAAAGTATGAAACCAATTGAGATTCAATCTTTTTATAGTATATCCTCTAGTCTTGTGCTACGTTCAACATTCTTCTGCTGACATGTCTGTGATTGGTGTGATATTGTGACATTTACAATGGTCTGAATAATTTTTTGAAATTTATGTAATGAAGCTTGGGGAAACCACAAATGACGAGCGGGGGTTGGCAGAAACTAACCACAAATGATGCTTTGGCATATCTCAAGACAGTAAAGGACAAGTTTCAAGATAAGACGGAAAAGTATGATGACTTTCTGGAAGTCATGAAGGATTTCAAGGCTCAAAGGTTTGAACATGTACTACATTCTCCCAACACCAATATTTTTCTTTTGCTTGTTATATTTTCTAAGGACCGTGGATCTGAAATTGATTTGTTTCTCTTTGTTCGTTTGTAGAATTGATACAATGGGTGTTATAGAAAGAGTGAAAGAATTGTTTAACGGTAATGAAGATCTAATTTTGGGATTTAAGGTCTTCTTGCCAAAGGGATATGAAAATGCCCTTCCATTGGTGGATGAACAACCTCCCCAAAAGAAGCCTGTTGAATTTGCGGAAGCCATAAATTTTGTGGGCAAGATTAAGGTAAAATCATAGTTAACTTGATAGTTGATACATTGTATTTGTCTTCCGACACTTATGGAAAGTTTAACTTTTGAATCTGATTGATTGGGTTCTTCTCATGCAGACTCGTTTTCAAGGCAATGACCATGTTTATAAGTCATTTCTAGACATATTAAATATGTACAGAAAAAAAACCAAGTCTCTCCCTGAGGTTTACCAGGAGGTTTGTGCTGTTTAGTGTCTATGCCTATGTTATCAAGTTATAGTTAGGCAAACTCATTATTTGGTATTTCATTTCTCCGTTACCCCTCTGTTTGGTATTATCATTCTTTAGATACTCATTTTAAATTTGTATTGGACTTCTCCAGGTTGCGGCCCTTTTCCAGGACCATGCAGATCTTCTTGAGGAGTTTACTCGGTCTCTTCCTGATACATCAGGAACAGCCTCTACTCACTTTGCTGCTGTTAAAATTTCTCTCCTTCATGATCAGAGCTCTGCTATGCCAACAGTGATGCAAAAGAATGTTAAAAAGGTTTATCTCTCTCTTTATTCCTACGTTCCTGTGATTTTATATTAGGTCATTAAGCTGACATTTAGCTTCTTTATGCCAGAGAGAAAGGACCATAGTAGCTTCACATGGAGATCCTGACCTCAGTGCTTCCCATCCTGATTCAGAAGTTGACATGTGTTTGATGAAGGCTGATAAGGATCAGAGGAGTCATGGTGCAAAGGAAAACCATAGAGAAGAGAGAGACAAGAGACTGCAGGAAAGGGATAATCTTGATGGTATTATGGAGTGTTTATATCACAAGCGGAAATCTGGTGGTAGAGCGGAAGACTCTAGTGCTGAACAATTGCATGATACTGATGAAAATTTTGGCATGCACCCTATCTCATCTGCTTCTGAGGATATAATTTCTTTGGAAAGTGAGTATATCAATACTTATAATTTTAAATATAGAAATGTTTTACCTTCTCAAACAATTTTGTGAACATAAATGCACATTTTAGCAGTGGAAACTGTTAGAATCCAATTGCAAGGTATGGGACTTGAGTCCCACGTCGAAAGCATGTGATTCTAGTGTGGGGTTTATAGGGCTTTGGGCTCCCCAACTACACTAGCTAGCTTTTGTGGTTTGGTTTCCCGAAGGTTCTTGACAGAAACACTTACTTCAATTTCATATAAAAGGGAAGAAAATCAATGACAATTGAAAAGTAATTATCTTATGGAAGAAATTGTCTTCATTTTTTCTGCCACTAATTATGATAAAATGTATAAAAAAATGTGATCTTTGTTGATAGGATTATCTAAATTTGAGAAAAGCTCTGTATTTTGTATTTAATATCTAGGCTTTTAGGCTATATAAATTGTAAAATCTTTTCCAGGTTTTACTTGTGAGAAGATGATTCCTTTGTCTAATGTTTCATTATGTTTGGTATTAATTTTAACTCCTTATTTCCCTCAAGTCATTTTATTTTTTTAAACTTGGTCATGTCAGGTATGTGTAGTCCTTTGCATGGTTACCTTGAAAAGGTTGAGGAGAAATTACGAAATCCTGAGGATTACCTGGAATTTTTGAAGTGCCTACTTATTTACAGCAAGGAAATAATTACCCAACCAGAATTGCAATCATTGGTATGGTTTATACGTTTAACTTTTATTAGCTTCTATTCTGGTTTTGTTGAAATCAATAATGTTGAATATAATTTGGCTGGCATTGAACATTGACCTTTGATGGGTCACCCATGGTTGAGCTTATTAGGCCTGCAGCTAGGAATTAACAAATAAAGAAGAATAGTGGCAAGGGTAAGATGCAAATACGTGGGAGAGGAAGGTATTAAAAGGGGGAATAACAGAATGGATAGGTAGCAAGTGGTGAGTGGAGAGAGAAAAACAATTCTATTTTGAGGGAAGGTGGGGGGCCAAAAAGGAGTATCAAGGAATTTGTTAGAAAGAGTAGGGGTTGAGTGAAGAAGATGGTGCTTCTTCAGAAAATTGTTTTCTATTGTTGATCTTGTAACAAAGGTTTACACCTTTGATGCTATTCTAATTCGGTATCAATATTACTTCAGTTTTACCATTTCTAGTATGGTTATTATCAATTGGTATCAAAGCTTCAATCCTAGGAGCATCTAGTATCTACAATAATGGAGGCATGGATGGGAAGGTTGGAAGAGTTACGGAACACTAATACTTTAATTTGCTTCATGTATCCATATCTGATACGTGTCCGATAGTGATGCATTATGAAAATTTTATTTGATTTCGATACTCTTGATACTTTATCAATACTTATTGTTGATACATAAATCTTTAAGAAATTATGAAGTATCCATTACAACTAAATAAGGCATATAAACATGTTTAATGTAGAAACATAGGAACATAAACCCTTGATGAACTAAAATTGTCTTCTTTATGAATGATTTTAAGAAAGAAATGAGACTGATAGTTTTATTTATATTGTAAATAATATGAAGTAATTTTTTTACGAAATGATTGATCTGTTTTAGGAAGAGCTTTCTGACTGTCTTTTATGCTCTTTACAGGATGAAATTTGTTCCCTTTTAGTATACTTTGTATAATAGCTAACGTTTGCTGGTTTATTCTTCTAGGTGGGCAATTTACTGGGAAAATATGCAGATCTTATGGAGGGATTTAATGAATTTTTAGCACAGTGTGATAAGAATGGTAATGTTCAACATCAAACTAAATTTCACTTTCTTTGAAGTCTAGTTTTTCTTTGTATTCTTTCTAACCATACTGTCATACAGAGAGATTCCTTGCTGATGTCATGAATAAAAGTAAGTAACGTTTTTTTTTTCTCTGTTATCCTGTGATATATTCCCTTTTTATTTTTATGTAACATGGGCTCACGGGAACATTTTTAGCTTCATGTTGTGGATCAAAAGATTTGACTGATATTTATTCATCAGAGTTCTTATTGCATGAAGTACATGGACCAAAACCAATGAAGGTAGAGAATAGTGATCAATATTGTTGTGGGGGTGACGGGATGAAAAAAATGGATCACAAATGCGGAGAAAGGGACAAGTCAAATGCAACTGATGACAAGGATCTTTCAGTTCCTAATATGCCTCTGTGTGCCAGCGAGGATAAATATGCAGCAAAACCTACATGTGATCTTGATCTTTCTAACTGTGAACAATGCACTCCCAGTTACCGTCTTCTACCAAAAAATGTATGGTTGCTATACTTGCCTCTTTGGTTTTAGCATTCCCAAATGAAATCTTAATATTTTCATGCTGATTGTGTTTATATGTTCTATTTGTTCTCACAGTACCCAATTCCACCAGCTAGCCAGAGATCAGAACATGCTGTAGAGGTATTAAATGATCACTGGGTTTGTGTTGCTTCTGTTAGTGAGGAAAATTCCTTTAAAGTCAGGTGCAAAAACCAGTATGAGGAAAGCTTATTTAGGTGTGAAGATGACAGGTTAGAGCTTACCGTTGATATCTATTTATCCTTTAAAATACCTATTTATCGGTTGTAGTCATATGCATGGTTGTCAATCTCTAGTGACAACTCATAAACTCGTACGAGTTTACGAGTTTACAAGAGCTTACCTGTACAACTCGGAGGTAAACTCGTTTTTTAGTGAACTCGGAGCAATCTCGGTGAACTCGGGTAAACTCGTGTAAACTCGCGAGACTACCTCCGATATTAAGAGATCACCATTTTTTTTTCAATCCTCCGTGCGCCTCACCTCCTCTGCGCGACTCCTCCGCGCGCCTCACCTCCTTCGTACGACACCTCCGCGCATCTTCTCTCCTCTCCGTGCGACACCTCCGCGAGTCTCCTCTCCCCTACGCGCGACTCCACCTTGAGCGCAACACCTGGTCCGCGCGACTCCACTGCGAGCGGAACACCTGGTCTGCGCGAGTTGAGCGAAGACAAGAGATCAGACATGTCGATCCTCGATTCTAGAACCTTCTTCAGCTTTCGTGACAGACCCGGTGCTAGACCCGCCACCGTCGTTCCCATTCTCTTCTCTTCTTCTTCTCCGATCTCTATTTAGATGTTTGATCTAACTAGCTTCTAACTTCTTCGATTCTTGCAATTTTGTTCGTTAAACCCGGTTCAGGATGCACACCGGTCGTGTCTCGTTGGATCAGGTTTGATGGGCTAGTTTTGTATATTGGCCCCGAATTTAAGTGGGCTCATCAATGCTGTTTACACGGCCCATAATTTTTGCACTTTCACCCCTATTTTTTTCATACAGAAATATCCTTAATCTAAAAAAGTTTTCAACGTGTATTTATATTTATATTAATTACTAATATATCACATAGACAATTGACATAACATATTAATAATTGATGTAACACATTAATTATTATGTTATTTTTATTTATTTATTTATTTATTTATTATTGAGTAATCTCTTACGAGTTTACGATACGAGTTTACGATACGAGTTTACGGAGCCTCCACGAGATTACGTAAACTCTCGAGATTGACAACCTTGGTCATATGTATACTTTTTGGTTAGTTTTGATGTCACTTGAATTTTCAGAGATGTTATTTCCACAGGTTATCTTTAGCTTGCACATTGCTGACAATATTTTAACTTATGTTAGCAGGGTTGAACTTGATATGTTATTACTATATGTAACTGAGACAATTGAAGAAGTTGTAAAGCTCTTGGGAAAAATTAATGCTAATACAACTGAGGGATGCAGTCCAATTTGTGTTGAGGAGCACTTAACAGGTTATGTGCTATCCAATTGACGAATGAAATTTGTTAAAAGTACATATATGTAGTACAAGGTAATTTCTTGATGTTTTCCATTTTCTGATATGACTATTTTGCTTTGTTCTTTTAGCTCTAAATTTTAGGTGCATTGAACGAATTTATGGTCAACATGGGCTTGATGTAACGAATTTGCTAAAGAAGAATGCATCTTTAGTTTTGCCGGTCATTTTAACCCGCTTGAAGCAGAAACAGGATGAGTTGGCAAGGTGTCGTGCTGATTTTAATATAGTCTGGGCTGAAATATATGCAAAGAACTATCACAAATCACTTGATCACCGTAGTGACTACCTTAAGCAGCAGGATACAAAAAGCTTGAGCACTACAGGTAAAAGATTGTCACCTACTTTAAATTAATTATTTTGTTTATGGCTGCAAAATATTTAACCATTTGTGATATCATATCGTATTTTCATTCCATTTTTTGGTGACTTGTGTTTTCGATTGTCTTTTATATGCTTATTTGTATTCCCTTCCTTGCATTTGTTTTGATCGTATTGAATACAACACAATATAGTTTCCATAAACCATGGATAAACACATACAAAATGATTGCCGTATTATTGTTTGAGTTGGTGATCATGGTACAAGAGTTTTTTTTATTCTCCTGAGATGTAACTCCTAACTCCTTGCTTTGCTGTGCGCTTTCAGACTTATTGGAAGAAATCAAAGAAATCAGTGAGAAGAAACAAAAAGAAAATGATTTTCTTGCAATTTCTGCTGTAAACAGACAGCCTATTATTCCTCTCATGGAATCTGGGTATCCTGATCTGGAGATTCATGAAGATGGACCTAATGATACAGAAGGTGTTGTCAAGGCTAAGAATAATTCTGCCAAAAGTGGTATTGCAATTGCCAAGGGTCATGTTAGTCTTGGTGTTGGATCTAACAAAATGAATCCCAAGAGTTTGAACTCTAATAGAAATGGGAATGAGAGTGTTCAGCTAGAAGAATCTAATTCCTGCAAAGAACGGAAAACAAATGAGGATAATATGGTTGAGGAGGATAATTATCTTTATTTAGAGTGCTCTACACTTAAGCCTGAAACCTTACGCCGTAGTACACAGCAGGGTAAAGTGAATATAAATGCATCCATTCCTAATGAAGTCTCAAGAGGCAATAAGCAAGATCATTCCATTGAACAGTTAGTGATTGCTAATGCCTCACTGTCCTCTGGTATGGAGCAAAGCAATAGAACAAATATGTATAATGCATCAGGTGGGCAACTTGATTAAAAAATGATGACACTACTTGATTATTATTATACTCATTTATCTTAATATTATTACATCATCGTAGGATTATTATCATTAGGATTTCATTAACATGCTCCCCATGGATGCTAAGAAATCAATAGTAGGATGTAGTAAAAGAAAAACACAAGCATTTAATATCTTTGAAATCTAAAATGCATAAAATGCCTTCTTTGAACAGTTAATGAGTAATACATGCTATTTTTATTGCTTCGTTATGTGCTCCAATGGTACAGGTTAACAAAAACCTCATTAGAATTGTTATTGATATTATTATTATTATTTTTGTGTATTACATTTCATATCACCACATTGTCATAACATCATATTCATATGTCTCTCTTTCCATCGTTTTTGCTATAGTCACAACATTTACTGTACTATTTATCATAGTTATTAATAGTGGCAATAGTGCCACTTCAGCGTTGCAGCATATGGTCGCTACAGAAATTCTGTTGTGGTGTTTTGACTTGACAGCCCATCTCCAGATACTCTTCCGTACCAACACAGTGACACTCACAACCTATCTGTTTGATGCAACAATGCCTTCAAACACTTCTTTGATCCTTTGCAGTGTTGCTCATCTTTTTAACTTTTTTATTTGTGCATTCTGAGTTTATTTTAAGCCTCTAGTCTAGGCTTAAACTTATTCTTTGACTTTTGTACTTGTGTTTAGAAGTCTGACCTTTGAACATTAATTACAAATGTCTTTAATTTTGGGTATTTTTTAATATTGTGAGCATTTATGTGTAGTAAAAATTATTTAAACATATGTTATAAATCTTAAACATAGTCGCAATCCCACTATAGTGGTTTTTGATCCGAAATCCAACTGTTTTATTTCTGATGATGAATGGAACTCTGAAATACTTTTTTTTATATTCTGCAAGGACTGACATCTACTCCATCAAGACCTGGTAATGTTCCTACTGAGGGAGGACTTAATTTACCTTCATTAGAGGTATGGCTGAACTCTCTTTTCAGCTTATGTAAGAGGATTATTTTTTATGCACTTTAGTATAGAGTTTTACACAAGCAAGGAACCAGTTAAATACCCCTTATTTAAAGGAAAGTATAACTGTTACTCTTAGTGGAATACCTTAAATATAGTGTTGTCACAATTTCTAGTTTACTGATGGCACAAATAGTTATTCTTGTAGCATGTTGATGCTGTATATCACTTGAACTTGATTAGTGTGGTTATCTTTCTACTATGCATTTTGTACCAAATGGAATCTCATATCAACATCGCTAAAATTATTTACTTTTGTGTGTGGCAGGAGACATCATCACTATCCGTCTCACAAGGGAAAATTGTTGCTCACGATCCCAATGATATTATTGGTAGAGCTTTGAATGTACCTGATCACCCAGGCTGTGTTAAGGGAGTGGGATTTGGAGTGACACAAAAGACTTGTGTTTCACCGCAACAAAGGTCACGATCTGTTACAGATGATCAAGCGCAACAAATGAAGGACGTAGACATCAAAGAGCAAATGGCCAAGTTGCAAATGGAAATGCAAATGCAAATGACTAAAGAGCAACAAATCAAGAATGACTTTGACAACCTCGGAAAGCAAATTGCCAAGTTGCAAATGGAAACGGAAATGGAAATGCAAATGAATAAGGAGCCGTAGGCAGAAGGTTTGGGTGGCCCAAGTGCTAGAAATAGTTGCAAACCTACAACTACTCATATACCATAGGTAGCTACTAAACCTTACTGAATAGCACTAAATTGCTTAAATAATGAAGTACACACACTATAAAGTTATTGTATATTTTTACTTTATTAATTAGGTAGATGGATAGTCTGTTCATTCATTCTTTAGTATCAATCACAACTCACCGAGTTGTTGTTAAGGGGATAATGTGTAACATTGAGTCACGTACATTATGTAGTCAACCGTTGTCCCTTAACCTTAAAAAGGTCGTGATTGATGTTTTTGATGGTGATGCACCTCTTCCAAATACATATTAGTGATGGTATGTCAATTTTCAAAGGTGTAATAGGTATTCTTGTTGCGTTACGAATCAACTTGATTGTATTAGATGTTATTGTATGTCATTTTACTACACTTAATATTAATTTTGTTTCATGATCTAACACCAACAATACTTTTAGACACATGTAGTATCATGAGGAAAAAGGCAAAGTTTCTCAACGTACAAATGTGTGGAATATTAAGAATCCAAAGAAAGAGCAGCAGTGCACTTGATATTTCTGGCCAAGCCATTGGTTCTGACTTGTGGCGCCGCATATTGAGGTATATCAAAATAAATTTTCAAGGGAGGCGACCAAGTGACGTTACGTTACACATTACAAATGAAATCTTTTCATTTGTTGCTATGGAGTACATTGGTGAAGAAGATTGTTATAATCTTGTTCACTTTCCAATACTTTCTGCCATTGTCAACAACAGTATATATATTTGGTACGTGTATTTTTACCTTTTTAATTCTACATATATTTTTCTTTTATATGTTTAGACTTTAATGTTATAATAAATAATTTTGTTGTATTTTTCTAAAGTTATTGTTTGACATATTTGTAGCATCACGTGGGTTGTCACTGCGATTTTCTTCCTCCATCTGATACGAGGTTGCCACAAAATAGTTACATACAAAGAAAAACCTAACAATTTGCTCAAAGGAGAAGTCAAGAGATCCAAATAAATTGGTAATATATCCTATTAATGTAGGGTAATTTACTTATATAATTAATTCAATTTATGATTATTTATAAGTATTTAGAATTATAAAGAAATAAATGCTGATTATTGTTCATATTATTTAGAGTACATTGAGTGTTACATATGGTTTGCACCGCTATACAATTCTATACTATTATGAGATCCATGAGGGATATCATTCTTGCAGATGAACTTACTGTCCTCGAGACAATATGCAAACAATTGTTACATAGTTATATTTTACAAAATTAATTTATGATTTAAACATTTTTTACTAATATAATTTCTTCCGTATTGTTACATGCAGTATTTTCTTCATGAAGCCTGCAGCAGTTACTCTATAGACTCTAGAGCGTAAGTTGATCAAATAAGAGAAGAATGATCATCTTTTGTTTTTCAAAATTATTGTATACGTACATAGATCATACATTTGATTCTTTGATTTTGTCTATATTTGTATATATGTGAGTTTGACTCCATATATTCTCATTGTTCTAATTTAAGCCACGATTCAATTTTGATAATGATAATGTTATTACATAGTTCTTTATTTATATATTACTGAGTTGTGTACTAAGGTTTGAATCTCGTTGACATTGACTGTCTAATAGTGTCTTGATTCTCTTGAACATGATTATTTAGAAAGGAGAATAATAGTGAACTAAAATAATTGAGTTTATGACATTGACTATGCATAACTAATTAATTATGAATGATTTGTTATATATTTTTATAAGGAAGTTGTAATGTAATTATTATCAAGTGTTTTTGTTATGTTATTACTTGTAGTAATGAAAACGTCATTTTTAAAGGTTAAACATAACTCGGTCATTAAATTTTGCATTGTGTCTATTTAATTTTTTAATTGTAACTATTTTTTAAATTACAAAACTGTAATCTTGTTTTCAATCAGTTTCCTATTTTTAAGTTTTGTACAAGAAATACTATTCAAGTTTTTTTTATTTATTTTCTATTTCTTGTACAAATGTTTGAAATAAAAATAGAAGTTAATGGGCTATAGGAATAATTTTGAAACTCACAAAAATAAATTAAAATATAAAAAATATAAAATAATTCAAATTAAATTGGAAAAGATTAGTTATGATTTGTTTGGATTAGTTTTGAGTTGCTTTAGATTTGATATTACATTCAAATTATATCGAATTGAATAATATATATATATATA